TTTGTCAGGAACTGTAATATCTAATCGTTCTTACCGGTACTAATATGAAGGGTAAGAAAAGTTTTAAAGTCATATTGTAACTTCTAACCGTTCTTATCAGTACCAATCGAAAGGGTAAGAAAAGTTTTAAAGTCATACTGTAACTTCTAACCGTTCTTACCAGTACTAATCTGAATGATAAGAAAACAACACAATTTTGACACGTAGCACGACCATTTTTAACTGCTCTTACCGGGCTAATCTGAACGGTAAGAATGCAACACAATCAACATATGTCCTCATGGGAGCCTTGCATTATGGTAAATCTCACCGATGTCTTCTAAACAACACAAATTAGATTTAGTGCGATCCTAGGAGGCAATCATTATATTTATCAATCATAATTTGAAAAGTTTACATGATGGATGCATTATTGTCCATTGTAACACCATAAGAACAACATGAATGTAAGATCTTAATCTTAGTAAAGATCTCAATGTAATGATCTCACGTTCTCAAATGTATGATCTAAATTGATACTATTTGATTTTGTCTCACTATTTCTTTTTCAAGTTTTAATTGTACTTATTACTTCTCTATACAATATGTTAAACTTCAATAAATAAACAAACTAAAAATAAATTTCAAAACCTTTCTGACCGTTCTTACCGGTACCAATCTGAACGGTAAGAATGTTACACAAAAGTTATAGACCATTCGGTCATTTCTTACCGTTCTTATCGGCACCAATCTGAACGGTCAGAAACACACAGAATCCATACTTGGACTCTCGGCCATTTCTGACCGTTCTTATTGGCACCAATCCGAACGGCCAGAAACACACAGAATCCATACTTGGACTCTCAGTCATTTCTGACTGTTCTTACCGGCACCAATCCGAAAGAATCCATACTTGGACTCTTACTGGCACCAATCCGAATGGTCAGAAACACACATAATCACGACTACAAGGTGCAACGCCCTCCAGAATTAAACATGTTTAATTATGTTAATTGTGTATAGTAGTGTGCCTAAAATTGATTTTTCTAATTAATCTTGTGATTAAAGATTAAGTTTTCGAGTTATTTTAAGGACTTATAAATTACTTTCAGTTTTTTAATTTTCACCCCAAAAGTTTTTGAAAATACACTTAATTTTAATGTATTTTATTTTATTATTTTATTTTTCTTTATTTTTCCTTTTCTTTTCTTTCTTTTCTTTTTCTTTTTCCCCTCCCCTTCCTTCTCGTGGGTTCCCCAGACCCACACACCCACTATCTCTCTTCCTTTCTTTCTTTATTTTTCTTATTTCTTTTCCTTCTTTCTTTTCTTTCTTCTTCCACGGCGGCTCTCATGCTGCCGGTTCTCTCTCTCCTTTTGCCGCTGGCCGCTTCCCTTCCTCCTTCTCTCTCGGCGTTTCTCTCTCCTCGCCCAACCTTCTCTCTCTCTCTCTCGGCTGCTCTTGGCCGAAGCAAAAAAAAGAAAGAGAAAGGAATAGAGGGAAAACGGGGTTCAATCACGTTGAGGTAAGGATTTCTTGAAAACTCATACTTGGATTTGAATTATCGATTTGAGAATTTTAAATTTTGGTTAGATTTGAATAATTTTGAGTTAGGGTTTAGATTTGAACAATTGTTGTTAGAATTGAATGAAATTTGGGAGTTTTCAGTTATTGGACTTGTTGAATTGATTGAAAACTGGTTTTGATGGATTCTGGAGAATTTATGTTGAAATTGAACTTTAATTGCAGGTTTGATATTTTTCCTATTTATGTTGGCATGCTGCCGAAATTTCTTTAAAAACTTGTTTTTAAACTGAAATTAAATAGGAAACCAAACCCATGAATTGGATTTCAATCTTTAAAGAACCCTCAAACGGAATTATAAAAAAAATCGTTGTGAAACTTGGATTTGAGTCAAGGCACACTAATAGGAAACAATTAAACATGATTGAGCTTAATTCGTTTTAGGAATGAGAAACACTTCTTAAAATATTGCTTTTGTGATGAAGCTAGTGGAGAAGGTTAAGTGTTAAAGCTTTAAAGAAAGTGGATGCTAGAAGAACGAAAGGCTAGCCCAAGTTTGATATCCGAGAGGTAGGATATTCTTGTCCATATCCTTGTTAGCCTTACTTTAAATGATTTTGGCCAATGAAAATGTTTTAGAACAAAACATGTTGAAAGAAAATTATTTTAAAGGAAAGCATGAATAATGCTATTGACTTTCCAATGATTTTTAGAAATGAGATTTTTAAAAGTATCATTTCTTAAAATGTAATATTTTAAGAAATGATAAAACGCAGTGTGGCCTCAGAGATCGGGATATGAGAATCGTATCCTTGGGGGCAGGACCTGAAACCCGTACGGATCTACTTCTTGCTCAGTGGTGTTATGGCTCTGCACATTTTTATTATGTAGATATTTTACCACTTCTTGCTCAGTGGTGTTATGGCTCTGCACATTTTCATTATACATATATTTTTCTACTACTACGTGAGTATTTCTTTTTAAAAAAAAAAGATGATCAGTTCCGGGTGTATGTCTTCGGACCGTGAGTACCTTTATTTACAATGATTTATAAAATTGTATGATCGGTTCCGGGTGTATGTCTTCGGACCGTGAGTACCTTTATTTACAATGTTTTATAAAATTGTATGATCGGTTCCAGGTGTATGTCTTCGGACTGTGAGTACTTTTATTTATATAGTTTTATAAAATTATATCCTACTGGGCCTTCCGCTTACTTTTATTATGTTTTCAATGTTTTTAGCCCTTCCTCCAGAGTTAGCAGTTTAGATTTACAGCATGGCAAGTGGATGCTAATGATTTGGAAGGGGCGAGATTCAAAGTGGTGAGTTTGTTTCGGATTTATAGTTTTAATTCTGAGATGTACTGTATTTCTGTATATAAACTGTATTGGTCGACATTATCCCAAAGTTATACTATTTTTCTTAGACTTTATGGATTGTTTTAAATATTATTTGTAAAACAAAGTCTCTGGAGCAAACTATATTGATATTTATGTATTTATTTTTTGTGATTTTTGTTAAACAGTCCAGTTTAGTTAAGTTAAAATTTAAATTAAATCCCAATAATCACGGCCCTATCCTTGGGGTCGTGACACAAGGCAAAAAACATCATCAACGTAATTTATACATCCAAAATAAGTTATAAAAGTCATCGTTCAACTGAAAAAAGAGAAAAAAAAACAAAAGTTATACAAGTCCTCAATTAAATATATGTTGAAAATATCATATGTAGTGTAATCATGGGAGCCACTCATAAATGGCCGCGGGTTGTAGTTTGAGGATCGGTAAATGGTGTTCTCTTGCATTTTGACTTTTTTTATTGCCTTTTTGGTTGTTCATTAGGACTCTCGGCCTCGGCATTCTCATCCATTTCGTTCAATTCCAACATATTATCTCCATGAGCATGATATCAAACAAACTAAATACTTTTAACATATCAAACACATTTCTAGAACTAAGACACGCATTTACACAATTTTACAATAAACATTCAAAAATAAATGTCACAAAACAAATCAGGCCTTTTATCGAACATATGATGGGCACTAATGTAATAAGTTGTATTTCACACCAAGAACACAAAAATAACAACCCAGATGACGAAACAAAAACATAAAACAAACACAGAAACCTCACTGTGAGGAGTGAGGAGTGCCGAGAGAAAAGGCCGGAGTAAAGAGGTTACCTTCACTGTGAGGAGTTGTCTGACTTTACCGGCGTAAGTATGTTACTTTTGAGACCGGAGAGACGACGAAAGCTCAGACAAGTGGCGGGGGGCTGGGTGGAATCCGACAACATTAGCGGTAAAAGGTAAGGTTTTTTTTTGGGTTTTGGGGGTCGTTCGGTCCTTTGAAGAAGGAGAAGGAATGAAGCACATATTCTTTAGTTATCTTATTTCTTAGTTTGTTTAAAAACACTCAGATTTTGTCTTTTGAGGGTTTTTTTTAAGGAAAAAAAAAAAACAGGAGTAAATTTGTAATTTTATCTACAAATTGAAAGAAAATAAATAAAAAAGAAAATATTTTTTATAAGAGGGTTATTAGTTTGAACTTGTACCAATTGGATTGGACGTCACTGATTGAAAAAATCTGTCTGCTACTGATTCTTCACTTAGAGTGTGTTTGGTTGGGGAGAATGGAAAGGAATGAAAAGAAATTAAGGTTTATTCTCATATTTGGTTAGTTTTAGGAAAATGAATGGCCATTTAAAATAAAATGACTTTTTCATTAAATAGGTGAATCATCACTCCTTCCTCACATGAGAAGAATGCATATTCTAAGTTCTTTTAATTTTTTTCCATCATTACCCTTAAATATTATAATTATAAATATTATAATATTAATATTAATAATATGATAATTATAATAAAAATTAAGATTTTATTATTTTAAATATATAATATTATAATTATAATTAGATATTATATTTTATAATATTATAATTATTTATTTATATAATTACAATATAAATTTATATTATAATAAATAATAGATAATATACTATAATTAAAAATGAAATATACTATATTATATATTATAATTATAACATGTTATATTATATTCTATTATTACATTTTTATAATTATACTATATTTCTAATAATATAATATATATAGTGGTAACATTATAATATAAACTAATCACAATATCATTATTTTATTATATTATATAGTATGATTGTATTTTAATAATAAATATTATATAACTATAATTATAATTATATATATATTATATCCTTATAATTTTTTATATATATAATATTAGTTATTAAATGATTATATTAATTTATATGATATTAGTTATATTAACATGAAAAATAATTTTATTAACATAAAAATATTCTTATCCCATTTTATTATATTTATAAAAGTAAAATTAAATAAATAAATTATTTTTTTATTTTATTCTATTACCATTTTTATTTTTATTTTCGTTACCATTCCTCCGTTTTAAGTAGACGCGCCCTTATTTATTTCCTTTCTTGGGAGGCGAAAGAACCTCTTCCTACTCTTTTCCCAAAAAAAAAAACAAAAAACAAAAAAGTCGCTCTTGCTACTTGTTTATCCGTTGAACCATAAATGGCTTAAAGCCTCCTCGTCCTCTCCAATGTGGGTAATAATTTCTCTGAGAAATCAATGGGGGTTGGAGGCAAATTCTGGGACTTGCTCAAACCCTATGCCCGGAACGAGGGCTTCGATTTCATGCGGAACAAGCGAGTCGTCATTGACCTCTCTTTCTGGATCGTCCAGCACGAGACCGCTCTCAAGTCCAACGCTCGAAATCCGCATCTCAGGCTCACCTTTCTTCGTACCATCAATCTCTTCTCCAAGGTTCCGTATCTTTCTCGTTTTCCTCATTTTTGGAAAAGGTCACTTCATTTTTTTTGTTGTCTGAACCTGTTGGTACTTGGGTGTTGCTGCAGTTTGGAGCATTCCCAGTCTTTGTAATTGATGGAACTCCTTCTCCATTGAAGTCACGAGCAAGGATTGCGAGATTCTATCATTCTTCTGGCATTGATTTGTCTAGCTTTCCTGCGGCTGAAGATGGGGTTTTGGTTGAAAGGAACCGCGCATTTGTCAAGTGTGTTCAAGAATGTGTGGTGGGTTGTGCTTTTGACACCATGGTTCTGTTATTTAAAATTTGGTGTCTCAATGAGTATTTTTAGGCCGTAACTCTTCTTTTGGTGGTTGAGGAAAATGAGGAAAGGATCTGAATTTATCTTGATAGTTTGTTGCTTTGTGATGAGTAAAAAAAAAAAAAGCTACATTGAATCTGAAGGGGATTGCATTCTTTATTTCATGGTTGTTTCACGGAAAAAGTCTTATCACTTTCATGAGGCGATAGCAAGAATAACACTTAATAATCTTACTTCCCGTGAAATTTCTCCCTCCCATCCCAGGAATAAGTGAAGAGAAGTCTATCACTTTGATGAGGTGATAGCAAGAATAACACTTAAAAATTTTGCTTTCTATGAAATTTCCATGAGCATCCATGTTACTTTATGTGTTTTAGAAGAAAAATAAAGACAACTATAGAGTCATATTAGGAGAAAAAATGTGGTTATTCAGTACATATTTGGCTTGAACTTGGTCTGTGTATCGAGCCTATGCTAATGAGATTGCTAGTTAGCATAATAACATGTTTCTTTAGACGCGGATTAAAGATCTCTGTGCATAGTTTGGCTGTTGTTTTGGCTGTTATGGTTTTCTGTTTTTGCCTTTCGTTTTTGTTGGTTTCATGGTTGTTGTTTTTCTTTTCCTTGCCCCTTGTATTGATTTCCATTCATCAATATAAAGTTTTTTGTTACCCAAAAATAGACCATCTGTGCATAGCTTTTCAGGTTCAGGTTTATTTTTGATGTAGCTGAAGTTGCATGAACAATTTACTTCTTCTAGCGAAAACATGTTTTTATCACAACTGTACCCCACCTAACTCATGCTTAGATAAGCGTTTTTTTTTAAATATTTTTATAGATTTTATGGGTAATGCTTGTAGAATGTTTTTCACCGGTTATCACTAACAATGATTCAATAGGAACTACTTGAACTATTTGGGATGCCTGTTCTGAAAGCAAAAGGAGAGGGTGAAGCACTGTGTTCCCAGTTAGACCGTGAAGGTCATGTAGATGCTTGCATCACATCTGATAGTGATGCATTTCTCTTTGGTGCTACATGTGTGATAAAAGGCTTTAGATCGAACTCCAAAGTAAGTTTTAGTTTCTTAATAGGTCTTTTATTATGCAGTAGAGCATTGGTTCTACTTTAAGTTGGCAGATAAAATTCTTCAATTGTGCAATTAATTTTCTTACAATGAATTACTTGAGAGAACATACTAGGAGAGCGAGGGGTAGACCAAGAATTACTTGGGCTGATGTAGTTAGGCACGAATTTTAAGATCTAGGGCTTCAGGAGGGTCTCGTGTTTAATAGAGTAGACTGAAAATGAGAAATCCATATAGCCGACCGCAATTAATTTGGGATTAAGGCTTGTATTTGTTGGTGTTGTTGCTGTGCAATTAATTTTCTTACAATGAAAAAAAAAAAGATGTGTTGTTCTACGTCTGTGTTGTCCATATAATTAGCTTAGAAAATATATGATAGGACAGTGAGTCCATTTGAAGTCATCCTCTCTTATGGATGTACATTCTGTAGTACCCATAAAACACATTATTCGAGTGATTTAACTTCCTTAGTTAGGAAAAGAGATAATTGAGGAAAGGTCTGAAGAAAGTTCAATATGTAAAAACTAAAGGTTCGTTTGGTATGAGGATTCAAATCAAGGTGATTCTAATCATGATACTGGAACCAGAATCATGATTCATGATTTTGGGTTCAAATCATAATTCTGAAACCATGATTCAGAATTAGGGATTTGAATCACCTTGAATCAAGAGGGATGGTGGTTTTAGAATCATGATTTGAGCTAGTTTAAAACATCACATCAGATTCTAAATCATGATTCAGAATCATCCAAACCAAACACCGACTCTGAAACATGATTTAGAATCACTGTAAACAAGCACTGATTCTGAACCAAGATCCAGAATCATGATTTTGGATCCATCTACCAAATGCACCCTAAGGCCTTGTTCTTTTCACAACTCAAATTACAACTCAAGTTCTTTTACTACAGTGTTTTCTGTCACAAAAATTCAAATTGAACTTTTTTGCTACAGTTTTTTTTCTCACATAAAAAAATTTGAGTTGTAAAAAGAACACACCCAAGAAACTTAATGATATTTTCCTACTTATAAGAGCAGAGGTTGTACTCTTCTGAACCAAGTGTTTATTTGTTGCTACTTGCATGCATTTTCTCTTCTGGACTACCATTCTTAAACCCGAAGCTTCTATTTTCAACAAGTTGTTATGCCCAATTATTTCGCTAGTTTGAGAATCTCATTATATATAGGAACCATTTGAATGCTACTGCATGTCAGATATTGAAGCTGGTCTTGGTCTAAAGAGGGAACAATTGATAGCCATCTCTCTTTTGGTGGGGAATGATCATGATATAAGTGGGGTGCAAGGAATTGGGCTTGAGACAGCTCTTCGTTTTGTCCAAACTTTGGGTGAAGATGAGATATTGACTAAGTATGCTTTTAAGTTGCTTCATATGATATTAACATGCTGATGTTGAAAACTTGTTTATAGTGAAATATTTTGCTCAAATCTTTTATGTGCATGCAGGTTACGTGGAATAGGCAACAAAAGTATTTCTGCATTCCAGTGTTATACTAAATTTGTGGATGATCTTGTACCCTCTTTAGATAGAAGCTTACCGAAGAAAAAGCTTTCTCATTGTTCTTTCTGTGGGCATCCTGGTAGCAAGAGAGATCATTTGAAGAATTCTTGTAAATATTGCTCTACTAGTTCTAATGGGGGTTGCAAGAAAAAGCCAGAAGGGTTTAAATGTGGTTGTATGTCTTGTGACGTGGTACATAGTTGGACATTGCCGTCTATTATCCTTTTTCATACACTATGTCATACATTGTTAGACCTTTAGTTAGATTCAAACTAGAGTCTTTCATTTATGATTTTATACAATCTTTGCTATCTCCTATCTTTATTAAGAGCATTTTGAATGGTAGGGACGGAAAGAAAAGGAGCGAAAGAAGCAAGACCATTGGTTTGACAGAGTTTCTTCCAAGATTGCTCTGGAGCCAAATTTTCCCAACCGCGAGATAATTGAAATGTATCTGTGCGACAACCATGGTTCTTTCACTGGTATGTTCGACTCCTGGCATTTTGCTGGTTTTAGCAATCAATAGTTTGATTAAGGACTTAAAGTGTCTCTTTCTCTGGTTCTCTCTCTCTCTCCCTCTCTCAAGTGGCCACATATACACAAAGGCACGTTGAGAGAGAGAAGAATATTTGAATGTGTCTTTATTACCATCCTCAAGTGATTTCATGAAACTCTAGTTCTGACGTTTTTTACAAGCATATACATCTTGGCCCTTTTTTTTTTTAAAATTTATTTATTGCTGCTAGGGGTATCTGCTTTGTCTAGTATTTCTTTTTCTGGACTGGACAGGACAGACATTACTTGCACCAAGACTTGTAAATCATTTTTCGCAAGTCACTAGATCAACCGTCATTCTTTTTTGGAAATATAATGTCAAAAGGAAAGAAAAAGGGAATGGAAGGGTCGTACCAGATTGTGTGGTTCCCATTTCCTTGAATGAAGAGGTGGGTAAAAAAGAAAGAAAGGAAGAAAGCCTCACCTAATGTTGTGAATCCAGCCTTGAAGTCGAAATTGGGAAGATTATGCGATAACGTGTGACCTAATTTATGTTCTGACAATGTTCTTTTTATCTTATTTCGTTTGGTTTACTTTTGTAGACTTGTCTTTCCATCTTGGACTCTATTTTTGTTTTAATATTATCTTTTTGAACAGGAAATGATGGCCCATGTATATCATGGAGAAGCCCAAAAATTGAGCTGCTGGTTGATTTCTTAGCATTTCATCAGCGTTGGGAACCATCGTATATTCGTCAAAGGATGCTTCCCATGCTCTCCACCATTTTCTTGAGGGAAATGGCCGCACATCAAATAAAGAGTCTATTGTATGGGCAATATGACTTTGATTCCATAGACCGTGTGAAGGTAAGACACGGGCACACGTTTTATGTCATCAAGTGGAGCAAAGCTACTCCTAAATCAGGTGGTGTTTCTAATGCAACCTGTTCAGAAGTGTCTGACATGCAACAAGATGTGGTTGACAGCGATGAATCCGTTGATTTATTGGATGAGATGGATGCACCTATGATTCACATTAAGGACGGATGTCAATTTATTTTGACGGATGAAAACGTGGAACTCGTTCATGCTGCTTTTCCACGAGAACTGGACAGATTTTTGCGAGAAAAGGTATGTTCTTGGCCTTCTATTTATGTGTCTCTCTGGCCCTGTTTTCTTCCTCTTAGTTTTTACTTAGGTTGTCTCGTGTAAATTATAGACATTATACGTTACGTCGGATTTACTAGTGTCTAAATTGAAGTCTTTGTTGTATTAGTGATGCAGAACTAGGGGGAGAAAGGGAAATAGAGAAGAGAGAATAGAAAGAGGAGAAATTAGAAGAAAGGAGAGAAAAATAGAAGATGAATTAGAGATTTAGAAAAGAAATTAGATAGAGAGAGATGAGAAAGGAGAGAGCAAGAGGGAGAAGCAATCTGATAAAGATATTCAATATTCAAATCATGGTCTCAATTACTCTTAACAAAGTAGCCAATTTATAGGCTAATTACATAATGAAAATAGGAAACTAAAACAGAATAAAAAACTCAATCCTAATTGATTTGAAAATCAATCCCAACCAATCTAATTTATTTTCTATATTTGTCTTCTCAAAGTCAGTACTTATTCTTCATCAATTAGTTTAGCCACCTGGGAGCTGTGACAGGAGAGTAAAAAAGCAAAGGGTTATCTCCTGCAGTAATCTAGGGCTAATAAGAGAATTTTCAAAATTAAGAAAATATTGAAGTGATGAACTTAAGAAATGTTCTTGAAAACTTTTGCAGGAGCTGAAAGAATCAAGAAGGAAAAAGACTCCAAACTTGAGATTTGAAAGGACAAATGAGAAGTTGGAAACACCTAAGTCAAGAGGCATCCAGCGAAATATCACCGAATTTTACCGTTCAACCAAAGTCCTATTAGAGAACCAACCTGTAGAAGATTTAGCCAAGGATATTGATAGTCAGAGCGGCGAGTCATCTAAAGAGAAGAGGAAAGTTTCAAATCAAAACTTGCCAAAGTCTGTAAGACGTCGTCTTTTGTTTGGCTAAGGTTATTCTTTGTTATTATTTTGGATCATTTTGGCTCCTCTTTGCTTATTGTTGTTAAGGTGTAAATAGTGCATATAGGGCGGTGTATATATTTTTGCTATATATTTTTGCTCTACTTAAGGTTTTAGGTGTATATCTTTCTTCTTCTTCTTCTTCCTTTTTTTTTTTTTTTTCCTTTCCTTTCTTTGGCTGAATAAGTTTTAGGTGTATATCTAGGATTCCTTATTTCTGCATTACAAGATTTCGTGTTATGCTTTACATTTTGTGTGTATGAACTATAACTATGTTAGTTGTGTGCATGTGTTTCTAGTAAGGACTACCTAGATTTCCTTTTCACAGATTTGATCTGATTGAGGCTGGTCATGTGGAATCCAACGAGTCTCACATTTTGTCATTTACTACATGAACAGTGTACTATTTCATACTGACATTATGATCACATGTCATCTCATGTAACATCTCTAACAAACATACTGAGAAATCCTCTTTCTCAACGTGAGGCACACTTTTAAACCATTAGATCGTGTTAGAATTATGTATTAAAAAATATGGTCAATTAACGGGACTTGATAAGGATTTGATGGTTAAAAATTGTGTCTAACAATTAGAGTATTTTTGTAATAACCTAGTTATGTAAAGAATTTTTTAATTAGTCTTATTTTGTTATCTTGTCCTTGCATATTAAGGTCATATTCATTCACCGATTCGAGTTTTGCTACAGTAAAAAGCTTTTAGAAACATGCACATCTAATTTTTTTGCTATAGTAAAAAGCTCTTATATAAAATCACATCTTAACTCGAATTAAAAACTCCAATTAGCGAACTAAACAGGCCCTAAGACTTATTAACGCTCGTTATTGACACTTATTAGTTCGGCACTTTGTTCTCAAAAAGCAGAATGCAATTTAGGACATATATCCCAACATACAATGTACATTCTATTAACTTGTATGAATAATGTGATTAAGACAATTAAACATGCATATTAAAGTTTATAGGAGATAACACATGCTTAATTACGCATGAGTTTGCATGTGTCGAATGAAATAAAGGTCAGAAATGAAATTTCTCATGTTGCACCTGATGGGAATTTACTAGAGTATGAATACCAAAGATAAAACAAACAAGCCGAAATTAATCTAGGGATTCGGGCGGAAATCTTTTTGCTAACACAGTATTTCATGGGTTTATTGAGATTAGATTATAAAAAGAATGATAATTTAATAAAACTTCATGAAAATCTAAAGGTATAAAATTGAGTCCTATTAACCCTTTTTTTTTTTTTAAATATCCTACTGCAACATTCTACTCTCTAAAGGCGAAAAAAAAAAGATAAAAAAAAATCAGATGGATGGCTGATTTTGGCCACCTCTCATAAATTAACGACTGATGTTCTTTTTAGGCAAATCTCGAACCATTTTTTTTTTCTAGAGAATGACCCTTTTTTTTACCATGGTTATCATTGATACACCATCATTTATAACTGACAAACCATTTTATCATTGATTATTGAAAAATCATTTATTGAAATTGATTTATGACTAGCTTATCGTTGGTCATCGAAAAAACACAAAGTCAATCATGATACACCACCACGTCAATTAGTAATAAGCCAATGTATAATTGATTTACCTTGGTTTGTAATTGATAAATGACCACTTTTCTAATTTTACAAAACTTTGGACATTTACTATAAAAATAGCTCAAAAAAGGGTAATTTTTGCGTAAAATGCAAGACAAACCCTTAACACACTACATGGAAAGTTCCATTCAAACAAATTTCATGTTGAACTCTTGCTGTTTAATTTCATATATTGTTACGGGGCTCAATTGTTTTTATTAAAATTGTCCTTGTATTCTTTCATTGTCTCTTGCCACCTTTCTGCTTTGTTATCCTACAAACTTGGCTTAGAAAATTTTCTGTTTTCATGTTATTTTTATTTGCGGTATAACACAAGCTTTCAAGTGTAGATGAAGAAGTTTAATGGGAATAACCTTTCGGCGCATTACATCCACAAAATGGATGCTTTAAATTATTTCATTGTACTAATAGTCTTCCTTTTCTTTTTAGTCATTCGACTTCGATTATAGGCCCGAAGACTTGACTATTAGCCCAATCCTAGTATCTGTAGGGTCCAATGTTCTGGTCGTTAATTCTTATCCTATATATCTCTTGCAGTTGTATCCAAAATCCTCTGCCTCTCTGGATACATAGCAAGACCGGTAATTTTGGACACGACACGAAAAAATGATATGAAAATGATACAAGATAAATAGATTTAGACCGCACGATTATTAATTGAGTCGTTAACGGGCTGTCACGAATAACACGAAAATAAATGGGCTGGATTCGTGCCAGCCCGTTTAACACGCTTAACCCATTTAATTATACGGGCCGTTATTGGACCGACACGGCCCGGCCCGTTTATTAAGCTCATATATATTATATATAGTTTTTAGAGCGTAGTTGGGTATTTAACCTTAAGGCTCAAAGAAGACATTTTTCTATATTTATTTTATGTTTTATGGACTTAAATATTCAAATGTTTGGTTATGTTTTCTTATTTAAATGTACTTGGTTATGTTTTCAAACTTCTTTGGATGTTTGGTAATTTGAATGTTTTGAAACATATATACTTGATAATCTTGTAGTATCATATATATGTGTGTGTTTGATATTTAGATATTTTAATGTGTTAGCTATTATGCATGATTTTAATTATAAGTGACATTAAGTAGTCAATTAATATAGTTTTGAATACAATATAAAATTCCACTATTTTTGGTATTGGGTCATAAACGGGTCATAAACGTATTTTTTTCGTGTCGGCCCGTCACGACACGTTTAGTAATCGTGTTCGCGTGTCGTGTCGTGTTAACCGTGTTATTAGCGTTTCGTGTTCGTGTTTGAGTTTCTAACACGTTTATTAATCGTGTCGTGTTCGTGTTCACTATAATCGTGTCGTGCCGTAATCGTGCCGGCCCGAACACGACACTCAAACACGAATTGCCGGCCCTAGGTTAGACCCTGAGAAAATTAATGCAAATATTTCTGTATATTTGTTGTTTTGTACCACCTCCAAGTTTATTTTAATTCATTACTTTTAGGGGACAAGGAAATCCACATTACCATTCAGCCCACAAAGAAAATCAGTATTTCAATTTTTTATTTTTTTAAAAGAACAAAAAAAAAGAAGCCAAAATCTACATTAACTTTGTACTTGTTACATTAATACACAATTATTCCTCCAACAAGAAAAATCATATCGCGAAATTACCATTTACTTACATGAGCGTTTTAATATTAACCATATATGTGTACAGCTTCAACGGGGGCTAGTAGACCATGAACCCCGAAGTCCTTTCTCGGCCTAGTCGTCAGCCCAAGTAAGTGCAAGATTACTGATCTTGCTTAACGACTTAAGCTTATTTCTAATATTGTTTCTATTTTTAAGATTATGACATGAATATTACCTAAAAAGGGTTATTAACACTATTTATACATGAATTATTAGTATTGTTGTCACTTTGAATATACTTGAACTCTTAATTTTAGAAAATCACTTCTTGAACTTGCTCTTTTTGATTGTTTTGGTCCCTAACATTATAAAAATTAGTGAAGGATTTCTAGAATTTCACATAGATAATCATGTCCAAATTGCGTAGTAACTAAAATTTAAATAAATAAATATTCAAGTTAAAAGCAAAAAGTTTTCTGCGTTATTGAAACTATAACACTTGCATCTATGCATTGTCTCTAAGAAATTTCTTCGTCAATAAAAAAACTGTGAAGAAAATCTGAGAAAATAATTTGTCAAAATTAAAAGTTATGGAATCAATGCGACGCAATGATAATAATTCAAGGATTACCCCCCTCCCCCAACCAAAAAAAAAGGAGAATACATACATGAATAAGATATTTGGACACTGAAAAAAAAAATATGACAACAAAATTTTTGACAAAATTATTATTACTTTAAATTGTTTCCTCCCTTCTGTGGACCAATAATTATATTATAGTTTGGTAAAACAGCAAGATTGCATATGTGAAAAGCTCCATAAAGAAATGGGCAGAAGATTGTTATATAAAACTGTCAGCACACGAGGATTTGAAACTGATATTTAAGATGATAGTATTGGTGATTGTAGTGTTAACAGATTCATTATTCTTATATGTTCCGATCCTAAATGAGAAAAAGAAGTGCCTTAAAATGGACAAAGAGTTGAAGATTGTAGCGCTTGTTTTGCGATCTGCCAGACTTGTATTACGTTCTGCGTATTATTCGTGAAATACGTGATGGATTCGTTAACAGCGATTCCAAAAAAGAATCACTAGCAACTAGTCAAGAGCTAGCGGCAGGGGAGGAGGAAGGTGGGTTTTCTTTTAATGTGTATCGTTTTTTACTTCTGTCACTATTTGACACTTGTATTCTTCTATCTTATTTTTTATTTAAATAATAATATACCATCTTAGTAGAGTCTACGTGTCAAATAATGATGTAGAAAGAGACAAAATGAGTGATATTAATATTTTTCTTAGAAATAATTTCACATATGACACAATTAAGTCTAATTTTAATTTTTGTTTTTACTTTTTTCTATTAGATATCTTATCCTTTTAAATATGCTTCATAACCCTAAAAAAAGAGCTTGATTGAAATGTTTTTTTTTTCACTAAGTAATTATTTTTTTCATGTTATTTTTAATGTATGAAAAGTAATCCTCATAAAAATTATTTTTTTAAAATGACCTATTAACATAATTTTCCTTAGAATGTGTTCATGCTTAAATATCTTTGAGAAATTATTGTCAGCATCACTCTTTCTGTTATTATTTTTATCACTTTCTACATTCATTATTTCATTCACTATTTGGCACGTTGACTTTATTATATTATTTTCTATTAAAATAATAACATATTATGTTACTGGAGTCCACGTGTCAAACAATAAATGTAAAAAGTGATAGAAAGAGTGACGCTCGCATTTTTTAACATCTTTTGATGCAACTCTCTCAATTATAATTTCTCATAAATGTCTTTTCTCCTAATTAGTTCCTCGTTGAAGTAATACATTTATTTTCAAATGTATCTTTACCAACTACTACTTTATCTATTTTACTTATTAAACAAGT